CCTTCTCATCATACAGAAAGCCAAAAGGCCAGGCTGGCATGACTCAAGAGGCCTTTATGCTCACCCTAGCTCTCCCAGTGAGCAGAATTTCCTTCCCAGCAGTAGCTGGGCTGTGGCTGACCTGCTCTAAGAGCAATCTGCGCTGTGTCTGCACTGTGTCTCCTAGAGAAAAAAAGCAACATCCTGCAGTGCAGCTGGCAGGAGGAAAGTGTTAGTACCCTATTAATAAGTTAATAGCTCTGCTCTGTTAGTGTTACAACAGCTTCCTGCCTCCTGAAGCAAGGGAAGTGTCTGTTTAGGCTGGTGGATTATAGTCTTGAGCTACAGCATCTTACACCGAAGGCAACTTTGTGACACTTGCTTCTCTTTATGGGGCTGACTAGTATCAGCCACTCTGTTGTTTGGTATGAAGATAAACACCAGCAGGAGATCTAAACTGGGAGGGAAACAAAACAGCAGCTAGGAAAGCAGGAAAATTATCTGCTACATTTGCAATTCAGGTCATTTTTTTACAAGAAGCTTTGCAATGAAAATCTGAACCAGAAACCATAAACACTTTGAAGTCTGCATAAACATGAACTAGGCTTCCCTCCTGGTCATATGGCAGGAGACCTCATCTGCACGTAGCTCACTTAGTCTTAAGGTGGGACCCAGCTTGCCTAGCTTAGACTCATTTTTCACATACTTTAGGCACCCGACCGAACAATCTTCCAAAACCAGTGCCTTGTTCTCTACCTAGTCCAAGGAGAGGAGGTGCTTGCAGCTAAGGCAACAGGTATCTTGGAGGGATGAGGGCTGCTATGAGTGTCTCTGCCTGCTTCTCTCCTATATGTTCATATGCAGACAGGGATTTGGGAGATTTACTGATGAAGATGCCACTGCCACAATCCCTCATCACCACTGCAGCTTGTTCTGCAGCACTCCAACCAATTGCCACATTGCCCATTCTGTTTCAACACAAACTGTCAGGTCATTGACTGTTCGGTGAGACAGACAGGCTGTCTGGATGGGGATTTCAGCACAGAGAAGGGAAATTAAAAATGCAAAATAGAAAAGCAGATGGCATAAGCTTCATTAAAATAATATCTTGTCTCTTGGGGATCCCATGAGGATCCGTTGCCTTCCAATGGAAACGGAGCCCCTGAGATTTACACTTGAGCATTATTCTGTTCCTCCCTCTCTCCTTATCACAGCTCTCTTCTGTTTTCAAAAGGCTTGTGGTACGTGCTCCATCTGGATAAGCCTCCTAATAAGGATGTGCTGGAGACATCTCTTAAGCACTAATGTACACTCAGCTCTCACCAGTGCTGTCAGAAGCCTCCTTATCAAGTGACTTGAAAGAAAGAAACAAACATGGCTGAGCCTTGAACTTCCTGACAGAAAGACAAAGTGGGAGTGTTAGAAAAGTAAGAAATACATAACTAATATGTATATTATATCAATAAGGGTTTAAGATGATGAACTACATGAACTAGTAGATGCGCCCCTTGGTGTGAGGTTCTCCTCTTTCTTGATGTGGCCCCAGCAGCAAGCTAAATGTTTTACTGCTCCACTTATAAACCAGGTGTAACCTTTAGGAAGACACTAGAAATACAAGCCACCTGTGAAGTTTTTCTTGTATCTAACTCATCCCTCCAAGCAAACATGAGGCCAAATGCATTTACTCAGAGGGGGAGAAACAACTGAGGAAATGACCATTCAAGCAGCAGGATAAATCTGTGTTCAGTGTGTGCAGCAGCACACCCTTTCTGTTGCAATTCAATCACTGTGGCCTCTGGAAGCAGAAGTTGTAGTCATGCTGGGTTGGTATTTAATTGAGCTCACTTGAACCAAGCTTCCAGCAAGCATGTATGACAGATTTATATACAAATCTTCACTGAGTAAAAAATGACTTTTATCCACCTTCCATCAGAGCATTTGACATATGAACAATTGATTCTGATTTAACTGTGAAAAATGCCACTATCCATACGGAAAACCTGCAATAGGATTAATACCCTAGTTGCTACCATCCCCAAGAATGGCTCTGCCAGTTAAGGTACTAAACATTTATGTACTACTTTAACTTTGTCTAGCCTTAAAGAGATTAAAAACCCAATCCAAATCCTGACAAGTTTAATGCAGAAGAGGCAAAAAAATCTAGTTGGGGGAACAAGGGCCAGAGCTTGGAGATGCAAGCCATTAAACTGCTTGAAAATTGTAAAGGCTGGGCGGATCTCAAGAATAATAGCAGCAGGAACTGATGTGGATTAAAGGCATGTTACACTGGCTACAGACAATACCATTACTCTCGTTTTGCCCCAGGTAACCTAGAGCTCATCTGGGTATGGCTAAGAGTAGAGCGTCAATCCAAATGCCACCAGATATATGTTCACCTAATTAAAGAGGCACGCTGCTTCCACAGGCAAAGAGAGGTTCTTGACCAGACTTCTCTCTGGAGACAAGGCAGGAAGATGCTTGTCAGCCTTGCAAGACAATTCCTCTTAAGCACACGTGATTACCTTCATAAGCATATTGTGGTCAGCACTGAGTATTCACTAGGCAGAAGCGCTAGCTGCAAAGGAGGTCCTGGCAATGGTACACCTCTATCTGCCACAAAAGCTGCTCAGACTCTTCCAATACCTCCCTTTGCCTCTTTACTGATGGATAGTAGCATCGAGCAGTGGCTAAGTGAAAATAATTTTCTCTATGTGGAAAAGCAGTTCTGGCAGAAAGACTGATCATTCTGTTGCACCTGACCCTTGGAAAAAAGCTGGTAAGCTCTGCAGAAGTGTGACTATGGCGTATCTTCATGAGTGAGTCCATTTCAGTAATTAGTTACCTTGCAATCACCTAAGGTAACAGGCTGCTTCTTCCTTAGTCACCTCTGTAAATTCTGGTTTACAGCAGATTGAGTTTCTCCTGTTGTATTTTTCTCATTTCTATTTTCCCAGTTTTCATATTTTTTCTCTATGGTATTTCTGAGTCTTTGTCATACTGATGTCTCACAAATATGCTGTGACTAAATTTTCTTTGCCAACTCCTGCTTTTTGTGTCAAAGTCATTAATGAACATATAAATGAAATGACTGCTGGAGAGCTCCATTAGCAATGTCCTTTCTTCTGATATTCTCTCCTTCAACACTACCTGATGTGTTTTGAGTTCCTGGGTTTCTCAATCTACTGGCTTTGCTTAAGCACTTAGTTTATAAAACTGAGGTTTGTTACAGATCTACCTCAAATTAACTTTTCATTTAATTTGCATGAATTGAACTTGTTATCCCTAAATCCAAATCTATTTCCTATGATCAGATCTCCTATAACGTCCTCGTAACTTACCAAAGCCAAGTCTAAAATAACACCATTTCCTGTCATGTTAAGCGAATCTCTGGAGGGTATTTTTATTGCCTAGAAATGCAAGAATATCTCAGACTTACCAATAATAGTAGCAATTGCTCTCCAACCTGATTCCTGATGTTAAATTATCCAAAACAACTATTGCAGTAGTAATTATCTCTCTAATAACATTACAGAACTCTCTTGGCAGTGAAAAAGGATCCTGGTGGCATGCAGCATGCTGGCAGTGACAATCTTTTATCAAACTGTGAATTGTGCTGTCATTAACACATACTGCTGCTCCCTGCCTTTTCCTGAAAAGCAGCTACTGGTTTTAGAGCATTCATGACTACTACTGCAGGACACATATACTGTCCCGATGCACTTGCTCATATCCGCTATCAGTAGCTCATAATTGCTGCATAATCTTCCTGCATTTGCATATCCAACTTTTTGTCTTCTTCTCCCTAGTCTCTCTTTCAGCAAAATCTTGCCTACTTTCTTTTCCTTTGCTGTCTATGGGCCCACTCTGTGACATTCCTTTCTGCACTGCTACGACCAGATTTGTCAGATTATTCAATTTACCACCTACTCAGGCAGAGCCTTGAGGCTTCACAAGTGCTCCCCAGCCTTTTCCTGATGTTTCTTTAAGGCTCCTCTTATAAACGAGACCAACACTGGTGTTTGCAGTAGTAATGCAGGTCCTTGGGTAAAAACTATCTATAGCGAACATCTCTTCGTAATCACACACCAGTGCCCAAACTTTCCCACATTTTCTTCAAACCTTAACTGTCTGCTGACCTTCCCTATCACTCACTTGGTAGGGGACGGAGCTATTCCACTGAACATGTGGGCACCCACTTCTTTCAGAGCCTTCCTCAACATGGCATAGTCACCTTCAATCAGCTCCAGTAGCATCCTCTCAGTATCATTTGTTTTGATGTGAAGGACAAGCAGCAAACTGATTCCTGCTCCTACTGGGAATTTTTCCAGACATAGATTCCCATGTTTTATCCACTGTCTGAGCAAAAAGCACACTGTTCCTTTGACTTGTCCTTTATCAACTTCTTGAGGCTGTGTGGCACAATAGTGGCTCAGGTTTTGGAGGGAGGACAGCCATGTGTGGATTGCTGTCCTCTTGTAAGCATTAGCCTTGCGAGGAAGCAGTGTATTGTGCTAATTGGATGATTCTCCTTCCAGAACTTAGAAAATATTCCTCAGAAATAGCATGAGTACTTGTATGTGAACCTTTATAGACATACAAGCCCTCCATCTCACACTAACACAGCTCTACCTTTTCCTGGAGTGGCCCAAGTCTCTGATCCTTTCCCTTTTGTTTGCAGTGATTCTGTCTTCTTTTTACAGTCTCTCTATATTATCTTTATTCTTCATCTGGCCAGGCCTTGATCTTAGCTTGATAAAAATCTGTAGGTTTAAAAAGCTATGCCTTCCTTTCAAGGTATAGCTTCCTTTGTCTACCACAGCCCAAGATGCAAGGTCCTTACATGTTTGTAGGTCAGTTCCCTCAGCAGCAGAATCACAATGATAAAACTGCTCTCTGAGGTGTTTGAGCCGAGCTGGCATGCTCAGCCACATGCATGGAGATCCGCATACGATCCCATGAGCACCTCACCATATTTCAGACCTTGGATTCAGCCTTTTCACTCTCCATCAGTAAAGACTCACCTAATTTCACTTGAAGTGGGGACGGCTTATAGTTCATGGCTACCGTCTCTCCCTCTCTCGTATCACAATCTCTGTCCGAAATAGATGCAGCTGTTGGATCCTGTTAAGAAAGAAAAGGAAACAAAACGGACTGGTTTAGCTAAAAGTTATGCAGTCTCTTCTCTAATTCTCTGTTAGATGAGTCCATCCCCACGTGCATTCAGAGGGAGCAGAGAACATGCTGGTGTATTGAACAACTGAAAGCCAGGGGCAAAACACAGAACTTTGGAAGCACATTTAGTATGCTAAAAGTACCTCTGGAAATGCCAGATTTCAACATCAGACTTACATGATGGATTATACTGGGAATATAATGTGGATGGTGGGTCATCAGTTCAAATTCAGCCTGGGCTGGCAGTAGTCCCAAACCATTTTCATATGATGACTCTTCAGGTTGTTGTACGAAATGCATTTACAGTTTCAGCCGAGATCCAAGTGAACCCATCAACCTCATGATTAAAACTAAAAAGCTCATGACCACCTATGTGAAAGTCCAGCTCAGAAGGAACGAGGGTTGAATGAGTAGGAGAATTCAATCTCCAGTCCTCTTGGGAGAGGGCTGAAGAAGTCTGTGCTTCCCATGCTGGACCTATTTTGTGGCTAACCAGAAAGATTTAGTTTCAGTATCTGTCAGCACAGCACCTTTCACTGACACTGAAATCCCCCCAAAAACCAAAGCTCCCGCAAAAGAGTCCACTCTATCACACCTACTTGCACACAACCTAATCCAGGTAGTGTTGTACTCTATGGTACAGCACATGAATGGATTCAGAGAGACAAACTACCAATTCAGGCAGTTCTACCACTGCTAAGAACATTTAAAATCCTTTCAGAGCAAACTTCAGACCTGCTGGAACTCTCTCTACTTAGCACCATAGTGAAAATTAAAATTGGTTTTCAAACATATTCACTTAGAGGCTAGGAACTAAACTGAACATGCAGATATATATATACACATGTATGTGTATGTAAGTTTGGATTTATAAAAGTTATCAAGTTGCACAGGGAAAACAAACATCCAATATTAGGTGCAGTATCTGAAAAAATCATTACTTCGTAAGAAATGGAACAAAGCATCAGTAACTAAACACGAGAAAATACCATTTCAAACTGGTGAATTGACACTGTCAACCTCTTGGTTTCTGGAATATGTATTTCGTACACAATTTCTTACAAAAATGCAACCCATCACAGACACCTGTGTGCAAGGCAGAGTCACTGAGCTTCAAAGCAAGGTACCACCGCTCCTTGCTCTCAGTAAAAAAATGCCTCTGTGAGCCACTGTCCCTTCCTCCCCAGTGCCCAACTTCTCTATGCAGTGCACATTAGCTCTTTCTAATACACTATGCTTATGAGATAAAATGTGATTCTTGAATTAGGCTCTATCTTCATAAAACCTGATCAAATAACATATGTAGGGTTATAATGTTTTATCAAAATTCTGCTCCTTCGCACTATCCAGTAGACTTTGACAGTACTTAAAATGGAAGGCGCTTACAAGACTTTGCATTCAATGACCATTAGATGATGCTGAACCATATGCAATTTCTTCTGCTTTCCTCAATGCAGTCACTGCTGCACTTTTTCTCTAATGCAGCAGTTTAATGGCGGGTTAAAAACATTAGAGCAAGTTGCAAACAAACCAGCCAGTCTCCAGGAGAACATAGTTAGGCATAAATGATGAATCATGTGCATTTTAGGTTAAAAATCCTACTTTAATAACACACTAAATGACTAAATTCAGCAGTTGAATGGTAAAAATACAGCAGGTGATATTAAATGAAGCTAAAAGTGAAGTGGTACACAGAAGAAAAACAATTCCAACTTTATAAATGAAAATGATGAGCTGTACTATCACTCAAGGAAGAGATCTTGGATGACAGGTTCCATCAGATGACCAGCTAGACAGACCAGGACTCTTCAGCCAGGGAGATGCAATTGATGGGGACTCTGGGAGAAGTCTAAATAATCCTGAGTGGGGTGAGAAGGTGAGTAAGGATCAGCTAGCCCTTATTTTCTGCAAGCATGAGACACCAAGTGGCAGATAACATGAGCAGCTGGAAACAAATGCAGCACTTCTCCATACAGCCAATGATCTGTTACTGTGGATGCTAAAAGGCATTCCCATGGGCTCAGGAAAGGGTGGGAAAAACGAATGGAAGGAATATCCATCAAATCCAAAAGCCCTGCTTACGGCTCAGGCTGTTCCCAGGCACAGATAGCTGGAGGGGGGGAGCCAGGGAGGCATCACTGCGGGCTCATCCCATTCTTGTCCTCTTGGGGGCACGACACAGGGATAGGTGAGGCTGATAATCTGACTTGGAATAGCAGTCTCTATTTTCTGTGTCAAACCTATTCTATGATCTCAACTGAAGACCAGTTCTTGTAATATAGGATCAGTCTCCAACACACCCTGCTGAAGGGGCTAGACCAGAATGCAGACTGTAGGAAAGGATATTCATGGGAATGGCCAGATAATACAAAGGACATGGCTAAAACCTCACCAAGAGGGATACGTAAGGTGGTAAGCAGCACCCCCAGAGTCCAGGCTACTGGATGGCAACCTTTTCTCTGACAGTCTGGGAAAAGGCAGGATACAGCCGTTTTTAAGGACCATAACTCCAAGAGCTGGATGCTTCCTAGTGCTACACAAAAACAAGTCCTTGGAGAGCCAATCTGCTGGTTGGAGGAAGGCATGGGAGCAGACATATTACAGTAAAGGACACGGTGCGATGCCCACATCCTGATGCTGGTGCAGCCCAGCACAGAGCCACGTGAGCTCACAGCCAGAACTTCACATGGCAGAGAAAGGGCCTGGCCTCTCACACTAGCTCCAGTTCATGCTGTTAAAATTACACTTAAACTCTTGAAATAAAAGTCAGCCCTTATTTTTCTCAGAAGCTGATGTGCTGACAGTAGCTTTTCCTTGTGGGTAACCTGCCAGTGACATTAGACATCCATTTGCACCAAAAGAGGGAAGGGAGAAATGTTCTGAGGTGCCTTTGAAGATTTTGACTCTGATCCTGGACCAGAGGACTCAGCTGGAGCAATCTCAAAGCTGGGCTCTAGACCAAACAAATAGAAAAAGCTTCCTAGACCTCCAGAGAAAACAAAGACTATTTTCAAGGAGCAATGCATTCCATCCTGTCTTAGACACTCATCTTAAAGGAGACGGATCCATCCCTAGAGATGTGTCTCCCTCTGGCTGCTGACTACAGAGGAGGCCTGGCAACTGGTGGAGACTGCACCCCTAGCTCTGACACTGGAGGTGAGAATGATGAAGGACACAGCAGCAAAGTCCATAATAACATCAGTCCACACCAGGAATTAATCTCCAAGGTTTGGAGCAACACTTTTCTGCCAGCAGCATGGCACCTCTACAGCAGACCCACAGGGGAACGTGTTCTAGCTGCATGACACACCCGTGACTGGCACAGAAGGACCACAAAGCACCAGCAGAGTCTGGGTGACCACAGCTGCAAGCACAGGCCAGGCCCACTCCCTCCAGTGAGTGAAATGGATGCAAAAAGAAACCAAGCTGGACCAGTGACAGCATCCCCAGGGGCAAAACTGCAGAAATGCACAGGACTCCACAGTAACAACCCCGGCTGCAAGAACGACAGCATTCCCACAGCAGCTCGGCTGGAGCCGCCTCTTTGCACGAACAGGCTTTGCTCTGTGCATACTGAACAGGTGCATTTCTCTCTAGCTCATCCACCCAGAGAAACACTTACTTGACTAATTAGCCTTTTGCTTGTGAATGCCTACGAGCACACTGAGACTCACCGCAGGCTTTCGCTATCGGAATTCACTTGGTGATTTTGTCCTTTTTTTATAAGCCTCCCTAAAATGTTGCATTCAGCTCCGACCCCAGCGTCAAAACCTCATCTATGTGGTGAGACCGGTACCAGGCCAGATGATGTGATTTCTCTCTGCTCGCTGCAGGGGAACACAGCACTCCCAAACAAAAGACAAGTGCTGAGATGTGGCTGCCTGGGCTCTAAGTGGCTATGGGAACTTAATACATTTAAGGGATTTTTTGTTCCTGAGGCCTCCTTGTGCCTTCATTCCTTGGGAAAAAATACATTCAGTCAGGCCACTGCATGAATGTTTGGCTTGGTCGGAGTTTAATCACAGTTTTCTCCCCACATGCTCACAGCTTAATTGGGCATGGGCAACCACAGCATTTAACGGTGGGGTGGTTCCTTACTAGTTTTTTTTTTTCTGTAGGCTCAACACAATGGACCTTGAAAACTGCCCTCCTGCTAGGTACAGACGTGTCCTACGGTGTGTACCATGTGCCATTTCTGAACACTAGTGAGCCCTCATCGAGCAGGAGTGCTGTGAATCCTTGGTATGCAGGGGCACAGAGAGAAGCTGAAACCACTTTAAACTGAAATCAGGGGTTTAAGGAAGACAGTATGCTCAGCAGGGTTTTTAGTCTTTCTCTTTCTTCAAATCCCCCCTTTCCTTTTTGCAGTACTGAGCAAGAAGCACAGCATCTGCCATAATGCACCCGGTCAATAGCCTTTTTACTCGTTGCCTACCTCCCCCAATAACCCACACTGACCACAGAGGGGAAATAGCCCCAGCCAGCCAGCGAACTGTCCAGTCACACCCTGAGCAACGGAGCTGAGTGCTAGGTACAAAGGTACCCTTGTAGCACCTTGGAAAATGCTGCTTCCTTTGCCTTCCTTCACAGTCAACAACTTCTGACATCTTGCAAGCCTAACAAGCCCCTGCTTTCCACCCTGCAAATCCTGTGGGACCCCACTGCATGTGGAAGGGAATGGGCACACACAGTTTCTGTAGCCTCCCAGCTGCCCCTTAAAAACATAGCTGGAATGAGGGATGTCTCTATCTGCCCACCCTTCCCAATCCTAAAAAAAAGTCATTTTTATAGCCCAAAGAAAATGTTCTCCACTCTGCTGTCTGTGGGAAATTCTATGATCATTAAAGCAGCTCTACTTTTTGATAAAAGCCGGGGCGGGGTGGTGGTGGTGGGCGATTGCCCTTACCCTCTAATCTCAAGGAAAGACCTAATATACAGGGCTTTACACA